CCCCCGGAGCCTTGCGCTGCGCCGCCTGCTGCCGCTGCCGATTCCTAAAGCCTAAATCCGCCTTTACGGCTCGGAGCTTGCCCCGTTCGCTATGCTCTGCAACACTAACTATGGCCGCCCCGGCAGCGCTGCCTCCCCCCCCCCCTCTCCCGCGCGGTACAACGCCCGGCACCATGTCGGATTAACCCTCCGGAAGCGACGCATCCTCCGCCCAGTCTCTTCGGGTTGGCTGTCCGTGTGTCCGCGTGCCCGCCCCTCTCTCTCTCTGTCTCTCTCTCTCTCTCTCGCTCTCTCACTCACGCAAACACACAAACACACATACATACACACATGTGTGTATGTGAGAGAGTGTATGAGAGAGAGTGCACACACACACACACACACACACACACACACACACACACACACACAGACGCGCGCGCATGCTGGCCGCGCTGACCTCGCGAGCAGGTGCGAGAGAGACAGCTCGTGCGGGTTACACGACCCCATATCGATGAAGTCTTCGCTCCCCTCCAATTACTTTCCAGCTGCTACTCTTCTCCCTAACACCTGGCTCGCCTCTTTCCCGTAGTGGCCGTGCGTGCGTGTGTGTGTGTGACCAAACAGGGAGCTAGCCCTTTCTACCCAAGTACCGATATTTTTGGATATCGTGTTCCTTGATACTTCACCTTTCCAAAAATATACCCTTGCAAATTTTGCTTACTAACTGCCATTTAACCTGACGCTCGGTCGGTCGGTCGGCCCCGGTTGAACTGCCGGTCGGGTGTACCGGTCCAGACACCAGACCAGAGGGCTGCTATGGCTGTTCGATTCATCCGGAAGCAGTCAAGTCCCCTCGAACAGGAGCAGACCGCCATTGCCTGCCATTGCTGCAGTGATGGAACCCTCCCGTTGCTATCCTATCCTATCCTATCCTATCCTATCCTATCCTATCCTATCGCCCCTCCAGCGGCCCCTCCTCCAGCGGCGTCCAGCCAGCCGCCCCGCGGGACACGACAAAGGGCCAGGAGGCCAGGCGATTGGCATTCAGAGCCCCGCCTCGGGCTGAGGCCCTGCTCTTCGGTGAGCCCTTTGCGAGTGTGTATTGTGTGCGCGTGTGTGTGTCGTCCAGGTGTGCGGGTGTGCGTGTGTGTGTGGGTGTGGCGACCCCCGTCCTCACGTCTCTCCGATAAACGGCGTCCATTATCTGCGACAGCCACCTGCCCCCTCCCCCCTCTCTATCCTTGCCGTGTGGTTCGACTGTGACCCCCCCTCCCCCCCCCCTTTTCTCAGCCCCTCTGCAGGTCGATCACATTCCGTTTTAGACAGGGTTTCGGTGGGTTTCGGCGCCTCGTTTAGACGGTCTAGACGGCGTTCCGTTCCGCAGTTTCCACTGTTGCCTGTGGTCCTGCTTTCTTTTATCGAGGCGTGATATCCGGAATGGGGGTACAGTTACAGAACATGATGTATCATTACACCTTTATTTTACTCACTCAAAGACACACTAAAGGAGAACAGCATCCTTGCGGCTTCCAGTCCCGACTGCCTGCCTCAACACTGGGCAGTGGGCAGTGCAATATATAAGCTCGGTACAGAAGAAGACCACAAAGAATGACATTGCCAATTGCCGAGGGGCCCACCACTCCCGTAATCCTGTGTACAGATGGTAGTGTAATCCCTCGGAAATCTGTGTTATCCTTTTTGAATTTTGAAATATTATCACTATATTTCACCTTATTATCCAAATCTAATGGTTTTCAGCCCAGAAAATCGATGAAATTTATGTGTAATCCCTCAAAATTCACATGTAATCCCTGTAATCACGTAATCCTGTGTACATCCTAAATCGAGGTGGTGGCCCCCTCGCCAATTGCACTCGTTGCACCAATTAGCGTGCCATTGCTCCGCATGAGCCCGACATCCAGACTCTCTCGACTGACGCTTGATCATTTTAAATAGACAGCACGACGGCTGCATAGAATAAGCGAGAGGCGTGATATTATTGTGATATCAGATCACATGCCGCAGTTCTTGCCGGTCCACTTGCGCTACAACTATCAAAGTATTAACTAATGTCAGATGTTCCAGAAGACGCGCAATGTTAATTGGGTGTAACTGGAAGCTAGCAACATGATCAACATCAGAATAGCGATGATTCCCAAGTAATTGAAAATTAGTCGGAAGTCTGGCAACAGTGGAAACTGTGGAACAGAACCCCGTCTAGACGGTCTAGACGGGGTTCGGGCGCCAGCGCTCGACGTGAATGTGATCGACCAGCTGGAACCCCTTCCTGCTCTCCACACACATCGCCTGCCTCATTCCGTTTATCGGGATTAAGCTGACTCTGGCCGCCCGGTTTGTGGCCACAATTTTGTGGCCACAAGAAGGGACGTTCGGGGATGGACTCTAGACCCCACGACCGGGTTGCGCGGGTTGCCTACCGCACAAGGCTCCAGCAACAATTCGCCACAACTCGCCACAACGGTCCAATCGCCATCCGCGAGACGCCCAAATAGATACAAGTCGGTATCTTGGCGATTGGACCGTTGTGGCGAGTTGTGGCGAATTGTGGCTGGAGCCTTGCCCGGTAGGCAACCCGGGGCCCAACGCCGCCTACTTCGGCTCGCTGCAGTGCCTCATGCCCTACAACCTCGAGTACGACTTCGACGTGATCCACGAGCGCGCCGAGAACGGCCACAGCATGAGCGGCTCCCTCATCGACCAGCGGGCGGACCAGGACTCCCTCGAGCAGGACGGCAGGATGCGCAAGTACTGGGACGTGGCGGCCACGGAGCTGTGACACCGCATCACGAGCTCACGTGATCGCGATTAAAATGCAGTCGCATGTCACCTGACTTTTCGAATTGTGATTTACAAAGTTAGCCCATATATGTAACTTTAAAGAATGCCTGTAAATCCGTAATTGTATATATTTATGTGCACGAGCCGGAGTCCCGCTCGGTGAGAAATGTTATATCGAAGCGATAAATGGAAACGATGTCGACACGATCGAAGTGACATCGGCACGATGCCGTGTCGACATCGTTTTGACGGTCGTTTTCCCACTGGCAAAATGTAAATAAAATAAGTTTAAAATGTAAACTGAATGTAAAAAATTACATACGTGTTGTGAGCTGTTGACGTGAGAAAGTTCTTGTTAGTTCCTGTTACACACACTAAGCATAACGTCCTTGTTCGTATTTACACAGCTGTAGCAAGCAAGATTTATGGTCAGTCATGAGGAACTACTGTGTTTCTTGCAGGTTTGCTGATTCGTTACTTCTTACCTGTGATGAATTTTACTTAGGTGAGCCCCAACTTAGCCTCAACCATCAAACTTCCTTTTCCAATTCTAAATATTGAAATGCTCTCTATTGAAATATCAATTTTCTACAGCTTTGCTGTATGGTTTATCTGGGTAAGTGTCAATCCTGCACAACTTCTCTAAATACCGTAGGAATTAATGAAACACACATGCTGAGAAATAAATTAAGATTTTAATAACTAATCCGTACGTCACACACCTACAGCGCAGGTGGAATAAAAATAACACAAATATAGAAATTGCACAGCATTTTCGGTTAAAATGAAAAAGAAAAACAACTTACATTGTGGAAGAAAACAAAATAATAATACCATTAGACTTTTCAATAATCTTTGTGAACAGATTTAGAATTCACAGGCTTTAAAATTAAGATAGAAAAATTAAAGATTGGTTCACCAGTCTACAATAACAACATAAAATCACAAAACACAACAACAACAGCTAACTAAAAGACAACAACCAGGTCTTGTGTGGAAGATCCGCTTAGATCTGCTCGCTGTGCTGGGTGCGTATGTGCTTCTTAAGCGTACTGCTCTGCCTGAACGCGGACCCGCAGGTGCCGCAGCTGAAGGGCTTCTCC